TCGTTGATACCTTGTCTCATCATTTTCCTCTGCCCTCTGCTGAGCATGTCTCTGGGTATCAGCTTCAAGTCCTTTTTAGTCCTTTCCTCCCAACTCTCATTTTTTCGCCTCTGTCTTGAACGGCTGCTTTCACGACTCATTTTACTCAAATTTTCGCCTTTTCTTTTTCGAGGCATTTTTTATAATTAAAATTTACTTGGTCTCTAAATATTGAATGCCAAAATTTGTTTGCTTGTATGTACTATCGCGAAAAATTTACTGTCTAATTAAAACTTACTTGTTTTTTTCTTTTCAGTTTACGTTATTTTTCTTACTATTATTCTTACTGTTATATTTTTGTATTATCACATTTGTTTGATCCTTTATTTCTTTTTCTCGTTATGTTCTTTCTGTTGCCATTCTATCTCTCTCATACTTATTCTGTTTTATATATTAATAAAAATGGTCATATAAGAAATTGAAATATAATCTTGAATAATATTATATGGCCATATATGAGTATCTGATTATATACATATAAAAAAATATCTCTTATTTATTTATATTAGTAGATATATAATAATTAATTATATCTGAGCATATAATACATGGAAATATAATCTTGAACAACATTATATGGTTATATATGAAAATATATGATTATATGATTATATTCTTATAAAACCTCTGTCCTATATAAAAATTCTGAGTTATGTTTAGCAGAGAAAGCAGTACGACTATAAAAAGACCTCTTTTCGTCATCTTTTATATGCTATCTCCTTTACCCACTCGGCATATTATGTTGCTGAAATATTGAAATATTTTGAAATGGTGCAGAAATATTTTGTTAACATTTTATTTGTAACTATGCATCTGCACGGGGGGATATGAGGCGCTCCCCGAGTTTGCGATTGGTCAACAAAATTTCTCGAAGGACCAGAGGGCCCGTGCCCTCGCGAAAGTGAATAAAGCGAAGCAAGCAAGCGAATATCAAAAAAAAATGCGAGGCGACTCACCGTGTCGTTGCCCGGCGCCTCCTGGGTGTCGACGTCGTCCTCCCGTTGGCGAGATCTCTGGCGTGCAAGGCGAAAGCATGCAACAGTCCGGTATAGCAAGCGGGCACAGATAGGCAGGATAGCAAGCGATTAGGCCTTCGTGGTCTGCGATGGGCGACCGAGCACTCCAAGTTTGCACATGCGAAAACGGTAACGTGTGAGCTTCACGACGTTCGACTGATGAGTACCTCTCTTCCGTTCTCCGGCTCGCGCACCTGCGAAGTACGGCGCGAGCGAGTACCGAATTCTTCTCATAATGGGGGATGCCACCCGCGGGCGGGCAGCACGAGTCGGGTGAGTCGCGCGAATATCGACAAGTGTACTAATCGTGATCCACCGACGTTTCGCTAATAGGCGCGATAATTTAACCCGGTATAACTAATCAATACAAGAACCGTACAATTAACAATGTGAAGCGACAACACGAAATCGATCCTATAATTAGCTACTATTTACACTATGATACACGGCGGTGCGCCAAACAGCATCTGAAATATTTCAGAAATGTACCTGCATCATGTTTTTTATAATATTGCATTAACAATATTTCTGAAATCTTTCAGAAAGTTGTTTACAATATTTGTAAGTTTCTGTAATATTGCAAAAAATGTAACAAATGCAACTCATATAAAAAATGGAAATATAATCTTGAACAACATTATATGATTATATATGAAAATTTATATAATTATATAAATATAAAGTTTATATATAATCATATAAAAAATAAAAATATAATCTTGAACAACATTATATGATTATATATAGAAAATATATATATGATTATATTCTTATAAAACCTCTGCTCTATTTAAAAATTCTAATTTATGTTTAACAGAGAATATCTCTACAGCAGACAATTCACAAATGTGAAATATCTGCTGTTAAAGAAAGTCTGCTGTAAATATCTTTTTATTTACTTTTAAATAAAAAAGAACGGAAAAATAGCCACAGGAAACTTCTTGGAAAAATCTTTATAACAGGAACAGGATAAAATAATTTCTTTTTGTAAGATAAAATATCTGTGAAAGAAAAAAAACATAATTTGAAATCATATGTAAAAAAATACCATTAAAAATTCATAAATCAGTTGTCTAAATAAACTTCCCAAAGAGCGCCAATGCATGTATAACGTACTTTTAATGCGCGTACAATTACATTGTCTTCCAAACTACATTAATTGCGTGTTCAAAATGCACTCATTTAAATGCGTAATTAATGCAAATTGAGCATTTGATTTATAAATGACAGGTTTTATAAAATATTTGCGCTTCTTGGGTTGATACAGATATAAAATCTCGAAAACAGCTCCAATTTTTTCACAAATTTTTTACATGTTACCGATGTATATGTTGCAGAGATTTCGTATAATTCATATTACTTATATAGATATAAATTACATAGATATAATTACATACATATAAATATAAATGAAATTTATATAATTTTATTTATATATATAAGTACCGTCGTCTGTATGTATGTATGTATGTATGAAAGAGATAAAGAGATGAAAAAAATTTAAGATACATACCTTTTTTCTTTGTCTCTCTCTCTCTCTCTCTCTCTCTCTCTCTCTCTCT